ACTACAGGCATTATTTCTTAAAGATTGTCCATATGCATACTATGTTCATTGTTTTGCCCATCGTTTACAACTCACATTGGTTTCTGCAGCTAAGGATGTCTCAGATATTAATTCATTTTTTTCTCATTTGGACAATGTTATTAATATGATTACATCATCTCCTAAGCGCATCAATGAGTTGAAAAGTGCCCAAAGAAAAGAAATTGAGCATTTGTTAGAAATTGGAGAACGAGAGTCCGGAAGTGGTGCTAATCAGATTGGTAATTTGCAACGAGCGGGAAGTACTCGTTGGTCTTCTCATTACAGCTCTGTAAAGAGTTTGATTGATATGTATGCTGCAACTTGCAAGGTGCTTGAGTATCTTAGTGATCATTCTCCAAGTACAAGATCTCGATCCGAGGTTGGTGGTGTATACAAAACCATAACAACATTTGAATTTGTGTTTATCTTGCATTTAATGCGTAGAATATTAGCAATTGCGGATGTTCTTTGTCAGTCCCTCCAAAAGAAAACTCAAGACATCTTAACTGCTATGAGATTTGTCCGTACTACAAAAACTATCCTTCAAGCATTGAGAGAAGATGACTGGGAAGAATTTCTTGAAGAGGTGAAGTGTTTTTGCTCAAAAAATGATATACATGTACCTGACTTTGATGGTTCGTATATGGTTGGTCGTTCTCGTGGTCGTGAGTATCCTACCATTGAACATCATTACCACTTTGATATTTTCAATGCAGCTATTGACTTTCAGATGATGGAGTTAGATACAAGATTTAATGAGACATCAATAGAGCTCCTTTCTCTCAGTACAGCTTTGGATCCAAAAAATTCTTTTGAATCATTTAATATGGATAATATTTGCAAGCTTGCAGAGAAGTTTTATCCTGAAGATTTTAAACAGCAAGATATTTATTGTTTGAAAGTTGAGTTGCAACACTATCAAAATGATGTGATTTCTGAACCTCGATTTCAAGTACCTACACTTTCTGATTTATGTCGGGAATTAGTTGCAAGCAGAAGGTCGGAGAGTTACGTCATTTTGACTAAATTGATTTATTTAGTACTGACACTACCTGTTTCAACGGCGACTGTGGAGCGAGCTTTTTCAGCAATGAAACATGTGAAAACGGAAATTCGTAACAAAATGGATGATGGTTTTCTTGCTGATTGTTTAACACTCAACATTGAACGAGAATTTAGTATGAATTTAGATCTAGATTCTATTATAGATGAATTTTATGCTGTAAAACATCGCCGAGTACAACTTCAATAGGTAACTTATATTATAAATTTTTCTTATTATATATAAATTTTATTCGTACATTAAATTTTTTAAATTTTTAGCCCATCGTAACAGTAGTTCCTGGCTCCGCCCCTGCCCTTAACAATGTTTGAACGAATCTTTCTGTTTCTTCTGTCTCTCTCTTGAGTGTCTCCATCATCTTTCCATCCCTCCATTCTCTGTGCCTGCCTTAATTCTATTATTAAATCACAATCAATATCCATTTTTGGTAGGCGGCTAGAATTAAAATATCATATTGGCCTTCATTTTAATTTTAATGCATTTTTTTAAATCACACATTCTTCAATAAAAATAATATTAAGCGCAGTAAATTTAAAACTTTTTCTTCTTATTTAACCACACATTTAAAAAAAAATTTATTATATTAAAATACATTTTTCCCAACAAATCATTAAATGGAGCTCAAACAAGGGTGATATGACGACTAAAATATGTGATTACATGACTAAGTTTACATACAATATTATTTGCGTTCAATTTTATAATTTATTTTAACAATTATTAAAACCATAAGAATTCTTTATTATTATTATTATTATTATTATTATTATTATTATTATTATACTACCACTACTACTACCACCATTTAGATGGTTTCTTTAGATATATTACAACTAAAATTCCTCCTTTTTATGATTCACTTTCTCATCCATTGCGAATCGAAGTTAGATTTGAGATATGTTACACATTTTAGTTTTACGCTCTTTCGAATTTAGGCTACAAACTAATGGAGGAAAAGGTTTTGAGTTTACGTGAAAGCAGGAAAAGGTTTTGAGTTTACGTGAAAAATATTTTATTGTATTTAATTTGAAAATAAATTTTAGAAAAATAGAGTTTTTGGAAAATGAAAGATAAACATGTGTTAAAAAAAAAAAAAAAAGCTACTTTCTTCAGTATTATTGTTCGAAATTCTAGTTTAATGGTCTTAGTTCAATTCATCTTCATTCATTAATTATGAATACAGAAGGCCGAGTCTCTCTTTCCACTTGAACGTGTTATGTTTCCATAAGTGGCTACTTTGTGTCAATTTCATTTTCAGAGTAATTCTGATTTCATTACGGCCAAACATTCATTTTCCATTTTTGTTTTTTCTAATTTTGTAAATTTATGAGATGTTGGGAACTCATGAAATACCCACAATCGTTTGTTTGGTAACGTGAAATGTACAACATTAGACAATATTAATTAAATAAATTAAATTTTGTCAATGATGGTTGACAATGCATAAATTCAGATGCTAAAATTATGGTCTATATATTAGTCGGTCTTGTATTGGTATTCAAGTCCTGAATTGTTATTAGAGACGACAATTTACCCCGCCCTGTCCCAACGGGATCTCGTCCCGAATGGGGCAAAAAACTCCGCCCCGAATGGGTTGGCGGGGCGAGGATGCCCCGCCCCGTGAAAAAAAAGTAAAAAAAATATAATAATAAAATTAAAAATAATTTTATTTCTAGACAATTCATCCATTAAAAACTCATTTTAAATTTGTATTTTATTCTCTAATAATAACATAATTCGAAACTTTCAAAATGTAAAAAAAAAAAAAATTTAAAATAAAAAAAAATTAAATGGGGCAAAAAGTTGCCCCGCCCCCGCCCCCGTCCCCGCCCCGTTGCCATCACTAATTGTCATTCTCAAAATTAGTCCTCAAACTATATCTCTTGGAGAACTTGGGTGTAATTCAAATTTGATTTACTTTTTGAACCCCCTCCCCTCTCCCCAAAAAAAAGGTAAAATTAGGGGTAGCGTAGCACCCCCGTTTATTTTTTTGCTTTTATTTTTTTATGGTATTTTTTTTTTTTTGACAATTATAGAAAAATTCATCTTTATTTTTTAGTTTTTTTTATTTTTCTCTAGAAATGATGATTCCTTTTTCTTTTTGTGTAATAAAAAACTTGTACTCTAAAATGAACCTTAAATAGAGGGGGTAATGGGACGGAAGGTCGGAAACCATATTTCCTATACCCTTCCTCGTTGGAGGCAATGGCCCGCCCTTTCTCGACCGCGTATCTAGTTAGGTTGGTAATTCCTGCCCGTTCATGGCAGGGGCCTGCAGGCATTTTTTCCACCCTTATTTCTCACCCATTTTGGTGATTTTGTAAATTTATGAGATGTTGGGAACTTATGAAATACTCACAACTGTTCGTTTGGTAATGTGAAATGTACAAAGTTAGACAATATTAAAAAAGCAAATTAAATTTTATCTATAGTAGTTGACAATACATAAATTAAGAAGCTAAAATTATGGTCTATATATTATTCAGTTTTCTAATGGTATTCATGCCCTGAATTGTTATTCTCAAAAATAGTAATCAATATACCTCTTGATGTACTTGGGTCGTCGTTCAAATTTGATTCTACAATCCCAAGTTATGATTTTATTTTTTTTGGTCCAAACTCTAGCTCTCTAGTATTTCAAAACCAAGGGGGAATTTCTCAGTACGGATGTCAATGGGGCGAGGGTTAGCATATCCCTATCTCATTTGTTGCCCCATTTATTTTTTAATATTTTTTGTTGGTGAAAATCCTTGATAATTTTGTTTCCTAATTGTAGAAAAATTCATTTTTCCTCTAAAAATGACGCTATTTTCTTTTGTGTTAAGAAAAACTTGTATTTTAAAATGAATTTAAAAGGAGTGGATAATAGGAGGGATACCATGTTCCCTGTACTCACCCCCTGCAGGGGCAACAACCTGCCCTATTCTCGTCCATTATCGAGGATAACGGATTTTTTTGGCCATCCCAACTATTTCTCATCCGGTTTGATATTTTAAAGAAGGGTTAAAGGAGTAGTTGAAAGCAACATCCGACGGCATTAGGGCCGGACGGTTGGTGGCGGCAGAAGGAAAGTGGGCATGTGGATGAAGATTCGTTTTCTAATTATTTCATTCTTTTTTTCTCCTCTTTTCTTTTTTAAGAGGTCCAAAGTGCTACAAGAGGCACAGCTTGAGGACTACAAGAGGCTCAATCCCACCAATGATTTAACAGATGGCAGAAAGTCGGTTCTGTAATGGTATTCGTGCCCTGAATTCTTATTCTCAAAATTAATTAGGGATGACAATTTGAACCGTCAAAATCGAAAATCGCAGCTAATGGAATCGAATGGGGTGAAAAAAATCGAACTGTTAGTGCCATGGGGCAGATATGGTATTTGATTTTAATGAACATGTTCGTAGCGGTGCAGGTATGGTATTTACGCCGTCGAACCCAAACCGAACCGATTACCCGCTAAAAAAAAAAAAGAAAAAGAAAAAAAAATTTGAATTGATTATTGGACTTCACACTATTTTTCTATCCAGTCCAAAACAAAATTCTCCCATTACATCTACTTGACCCAACCGGCCAACCCACTTACCATTAGCTCATAATAATAGCATTAGTATGATAGTATATAAATGCAAACCTTATTCTCCACAAAACACAAACTCATGCACAGCTCCACTACCTCCATCGTCCAAGCCTTCATCGCCTCCAGAAAATTTTCCACACGACTTTAATCTTAATCAAATTGGACTTCAAAATTTTATTTTTTTTAAAGAAAAGATAGGACCTCAGGTGAGGGGCCTTTTAAATCAAGATTATTGGAACAAAAATTTCATTTCAATCATTTTTGTTGTATTTGTTTATATCCAATTCCAGGGACGCATTTTCAAGATTTAATGCAGAAATTGTTTCAAATTTTTTCGAAAAGAGGATAAACTCAATAGTCTGAGGCGTGGTCGAATACAATATATTGTGTTTTTATTTTCTTTGAATTTTTTTCATAAATTGTTTATATCAATTTGACGGACGAACCTATAAAAAATAATTTATTTTCGTGGTTATTAACTGAATCGAACCGTACTGAAACGAGATACGAATCGAACCGAACCGATTTACATGGTTGTGATGCGATTATGGTATGGCCAAAAAATTGATAGTGCGGTTATGATTTTGGTCGAACCGACCCATGACCGCACCGTTGCCAACCCTAAAAATAATAATCAAACTATACCTCTTGATGTACTTGGGTTGTCATTCAAATTTGATTCTACAATCCCAAGTTATGATTTTTATTTTTTTATTTTTTTTGGTCCAAACTCTAGCTCTCTAGTATTTCAAAACCAAGGGGAATTTCTCAGTAAGGATGGCAATGGAGCGAGGGCTAGCATATTCCTATCTCATTTGTTGCCCCATTTATTTTTTAATATCTTTTGTTGGTCAAAATCCTTAATAATTTTTTTTTTCAAATTATAGAAAAATTCATTTTTCCTCTAAAAATGATGATATTTTCTTTTGTGTTAAGAAAAACTTGTATTTTAAAAGGAGTGGATAATAGGAGGGATACCATGTTCCCTGTACTCACCCCCCGCAGGGGCAACAACCTGCCCTATTCTCGTCCATTATCGAGGATAACGGATTTTTTTGGCCATCCCAACTATTTCTCACCCGGTTTGATATTTTAAAGAAGGGTTAAAGGAGTAGTTGAAAACAACAGCCAACAGCATTAGGGCCGGACGGTCGGTGGCGGCAGAAGGAAAGTGGGCATGTGGATGAAGATTCGTTTTCTAATTATTTCATTCTTTTTTTCTCCTCTTTTCTTTTTTAAGAGGTCCAAAGTGCTGCAAGAGGCACAGCTTGAGGACTGCGACTGAAATTCTAAATAGATAGATATCGATCTTGTCTCTGTCATCTGGTACAATATTAAAATTTTATAGTGGGTGGGCTGGGTTGGGGTGGGGTGGCGTGGGGATTTAGGTTGTTAGAAATGCCATCTACTATTGAACATTCCATGTGATGGGACGACGGTAGTCTTCAATTCAGCACTGTTTTTCTTGTAATTATAAACCCAACAACCCTACATGTACATGTTATTTTTGTCAAATATTTTACACGTACTCACATTGGTGGGGCTCGCGTTAATTTTTTTTTTTATAAACATGCGGGGCCCTCGCTACAGTGAGAACCCCTGTATAAACCCTGTAGAA